GTTGTCTGAGCAAGGGTTTTAAGGGTTATTGTAGAATATCCTGGGTTGGAAGGGACCCACAAGGATCATTGAAGTCCAACTCCTGGGTTGTGGTGTAGCCAATAGCTGCTTCAGTTCAGTAGACTTGCCTACTGCCAGGGAGTGAGCTGTGCCTCTGTGTGTGTGTCCCTACTCCCAGGCTGACAGAATCGGGCCTTTCTATGGTTGATTGGCACCTGGTGAAGGGGATGAAACCCCCACGAACACAGCAGGAGTGGGAAGCTGAGTTCCAGAAGTATCAGCAGTTCCCAGAGTTTAAAATGTGAGTGTGCAAAGATGGAAAAAGAGTGGGCTGAAAGCATCCCTTCTGTGACTGAGCCATTCAGGAAGCTCTTACAGAAAGGAAGATGTTTTCTAAAGTCACCAGGAAGGCACACAAAGCCTGCCTGGTGGTGGCTCCCTGGGCCCCTTCCTTTCCCTGAGGAAGGTGATCCCTTGTGGTGCAAAGTGCAGTGAAATGGTTCTTTGTTTTATTGTCCTTAACAGCCTGAACCACGACATGACACTGGCAGAGTTCAAGTTCATTTGGTACATGGAGTACTCACACCGCATGTGGGGCCGCATGGTGGGCCTCGCCTACATCCTGCCTGCTGCCTACTTCTGGCAAAGGGGCTGGCTCAGCCGCCCCATGAAGGGCCGTGTTCTGGCGCTCTGTGGGCTGGTCTGCTTCCAGGTGAGAGACTGTACTCACAGGGACTAGCAGCAAGGTCTTCTGCTGGAGCATAGCTGAGACAATGGGACTCATGACAGCTTGGGTGTGTCAGTGCTGGTAGCTGGCTGAAGGCAGAGCAAACAAGTTGCTTTGTCCCTAATGTTTATTGGGTCTGAACATTTGCTGCTGTACTGTCCGGCTCTAACCCCTCTCCTGTTTTGTTAGGGGCTGCTGGGATGGTACATGGTGAAGAGTGGGCTGGAAGAGAAGCCAGACTCCTATGACATTCCCCGGGTCAGTCAGTATCGTCTCGCAGCACATCTGGGCTCTGCGCTGGTTCTGTACTCTGCTAGCCTGTGGACAGGGCTGTCTTTGCTGCTTCCGCGACACAAGGTGTGGAGAGGTGTGTCAGGGGTCAAAAGCTCAGGGTGGTGTCTGTTCAGAGGGTTGGGGGTGTGGTAAGGAAAGGATGTGAAGGCTGATGGTGCTTCTGTTTTAGTATCTGTTCCTGACTCTGATCTAATACTCACAGAATACTTAGTGTTACAAAATATCCATCCTGTAGACCTCTTGGTTATGGGATGCTTAGTCTGTTGTTCTATCCAAAAGTGGTTAGTCTCAGAATTTGTGGAAACTCAGGCAGGGGTGTGCCTGTCTGGGCTAAATGGTTTGTGCCAATAACTGTCCTGTGGCCAGTTCAGCTTCTGCACAGGTTTGGACTTGATTAGCAGTGGCTTTGAGGAACCACTCAAGTGTGACTGCTGTATGGTGGTCTCTAGACTCCTTCTGTAAAATACAGGCCAACTCTTGGCCTATATATGCAGCAGAGGCTTTTCTTAGCTGCTGCTAACAGCACTGGAAATGTTTTGTGTTAATGATTTTTTTAATTTATTCTACAGTTGCCTGAAACACATCAGCTCCTTCGCTTGAGACAATATGCTCACGGCACTACAGCTCTCATTTTTCTTACTGCTCTCTCAGGTAAGGCTCTTTCTTTCTGCTGTCCCATTTGTGGCTCGTTTTTCTCTACTGTTTTGCTGCTTTTTTTTTTTTTTTTTTTTTTTTTTTTTTTTTTAAATTTCTGATCTGGCAGGGACTGTGAGCAACCCCATCACATTCTCTGGAAAAACTGCTGCTGTCAGGGAGCTTACAGTCAAGAACCTCCCTGACTAGTCTTTCCTGAGCAGGTGGAGATGCACCTTCCAGCTTGCCTGTGCTGTGTGATCTCTGTATATGTTTCTCAAAGAAATTCAGGATCAAGCTGAGCTCTTGCATCAGAGCTCTGCAACCTGGAGTGACATCTTAGCCTACTCTGGTAGTCTCATTTTTTGCTCTGGAATTGCAGGTGCCTTTGTGGCAGGGCTGGATGCTGGCCTTGTGTACAATTCCTTCCCCAAAATGGGTGAGCACTGGATCCCAGATGATCTCCTTGCCTTCTCCCCCATCCTGAGAAATATCTTTGAGAATCCTACAACGGTACAGTTTGATCACAGGATCTTGGTAAGTGCCGTCTTCCTGATATGTCTGGGCTGCTTCTTGGTTGCCTCCTGCAGCCAAGCTGTCCTCTTTGGGCCATGGTTCTGTCAGCTTGAGTGATTTCCAGGGTGTCCAAAGGGCCTGAGAGCATTTTACCAATGTGCTTCTGCAGGAAGAGGAAGTTTAGCATTCTTATTTATTTCCAGTGTGGCCTTCCTTAAGGACATCTTCTTCCTGCACAAATAACACATTCATTTTTTTTGTGTCTTCTTTTCCATAATGTGAGCTACAGTGTGGGGTAGCCCTTCCTATTGAAATGTTTGGGAAAACTGCGTGAAATAAACCTTGGAAATCCTGATATTGAATGCTTTCTCCAGCATTTGTGAACTTGCTTTACACAGTAGTGCCCTGTGAAATTGTCAGAGCAATCAGGATATGAAATACCAATGGTGGCACTGCTGTGGACTAAGCTGTGGCTAAGACTAAAAAGAAAGATTAAGTGACTTAGAAGAGGAATCACCTGAAGTGACCTGCATAGCAAGATTATGCTGGTGAACTGCAGCTGAGTGGTGAAAATTAGATCAGTTTTCCAGGTGACAGCTTCCACCTTTAATTGTCAAGGTGACAGCTGGGGAGAAGGGCATAATCCCTATTGACTTGAGTAAATTGGGGAAAACTGTTGGAAAGTAAAGCAGTAATTTGGAGCAAAAATGAAGCTCTCCATAACCGTAGTTGAATTTCAGGGTGGTTAATATGACAGTGTGGGAGCTCTGGGATTTGGTCATGGCTGTTCACATGTTTCTGTAGTTAAATACTGGTCACAGAATTTCTTTTACTACATGAAAGGAGCAACCAAAGGCCACTGCATCCATTTCTTTTGAACTTTTCATTGAAAGATGGTTGTTTTCCTTCCCTTCTGTAGGGAATTGCCTCTGTCACGGCTATCACAGCACTGTACCTCTTCTCACGGAAGATCCCACTCCCTCGTAGGGCCAAGTTGGCTGTGACTTCCTTATTGGCTGTAGCTTGTGTGCAGGTACTGAGGGTTTTTTCCCCCCATTACTCCTCTGTAGCACATTAACAAGATAGAGCTGGCTCCGGGTTGGATATGTGCTGAGTCCAAGAGCCTGGAGCTGAGAGGTGGAGCTGCCTAGACCTCACACCTCACTATAGTGCATGCACACTGAACTGGAGGGTGGGAAGTCCTGCTGTGGCCTTTATACACCATATGTTGTGCTGGGGATGGTATCCGTAGTGCATCCACAGCTGCCCTTACCACTTCTCCCTTCTTGGCAGGTGGGGCTGGGCATCAGCACCCTGCTGCTGTATGTCCCCACGCCCCTGGCCGCCACGCACCAGTCAGGCTCCCTGGCGCTGCTCAGCATGGCACTGTGGCTCATGAGCGAGCTCCGAAGAGTCCCCAAGTAACCCACTGGCGGGAGCCCTCCCGGGGGAACTGCACCGCGGGCCCAGAGGCGGCCGAGACTCCAGGGGCTGTGCCCCGGCCGAGCTGGCGCGGGGAGACGGCGGCGGGTGTAAGTGCGAGCTGTGTAACTAACATAAAGGCGTTTTGCGGAGCGGCTGCTGACTGGCTGCGTGCTCTTTTCCGGAGCAGGCCGAGGGATGCGGGCACGGGCAGGCTCTCCCCTCGGCGCCCCCTGCAGTCGGCGCGGA